TTCTACTTGCTTCAACGATATCAAAATAAGATATACTTGGGATTCTTGACTAAGATCCTTGCTGATCTTCTGGTTGTATCATTGCCACGCGGCGCGCTCCCGTTCGTCGGAGCTGCTGATTGGGCAGTCCTACATGACGCATTTTTTTTATTTATATTTTGACCCCAGTTTCTGATTTTTCTTTCAAAAATATCTCCCGAACCCAAATTTTCACTCATTTTTCTTAAATTATTTTCAATTTCATCATCCACTTATTTTTTTTCTAATTTTATATTAAATAAAAATTTATAAATTTAAAATTTATATTTTTATATATATACATTTTTTAATTTAAAATTAACCTCGAGTCGAATTTCGGGTTTTGGTATTACAGCTTTATTACTGATTTTTTTTTTCTGTAAGACCTGCTAGAATGTTTGATTAAACGTTTATAACTTAAAAAAGTTTTATCATGGGTTATAGTTGCAGCGTGAGGCCATTGATAAAAGTGAATATAAAAAACTTTTCTAAAAGTGTTAAATTATCTGCATCTATAAAAGAGTGTAAATATTCAAATTGTTCCATATAATCGAGACTGGTCCTTTTTAGTATACTTTGTTGAACTCCTCTATAAAGTCTTTTCGGGAGAGTCCACTAAATAGCTGGCAAATTTCTTCCACAAAGTATTCCCAGTATAAGCTGTCAAATTTGGCTACTCACCCACGATACTACATGTCGGCTACTTCTCCCAAATATAGGGATGTAATCTCCATTTTTTGCTCTTCGATGGTGTTGTAGAGTATAAAATATTTTTCACATCATTGAACCCACCCATGAGGGCTTTCTCCTTCAAAAATCAGAATTTTCACTTTAAAAAGTGTAGAATTGTGGGCCAAAACTGAGTCAGTTCACAGTCATGGCGATCTAATTTGATCCAATGGCTCTACTAGGCAATTTCTGATCAACCCAATTCGGGTCGATGTTGGATCGGATCATTTTAGGCCAGTTCGGACCGGTTTGGCCTAATATATTTCTTCAACCAATTGGGTCCGATTCGATGGGGCTGGAAAAGGTAACCCTAACCCTTGTCTTCCTGATTCTGAGCTCACGCCACATAAGGGAGGCAGGAGGCCTCCACCTTCATGGGCCTCGGCTTCTTGATGCACTAAGCTCCATTCGGTTTAGTCGACGGATCCGCCACGGAACAAATCCAGCATCACGCTGAACTGCCGGCACAATTCATCCATGAATGCCAAGAGTTTCAAGCCGACTTCCTTCACGGTGAACATCTTGGGATTCTTGGGTTTAGCCATCGCGACCTTCCATTTTAACCAAGTTCAAGCAGCCACATCAGCGTAAGATTTAGCCGGTTCGAGCTCTGATACTAACTTGTCAAATGCCTTAGACATGGATTTTGACTTGAGGAAAATAAAAAATAATAAGAAGAGAATGAATAAGATGATGAAGAATCTGAAGAGAAAGAGAGATAATAGTTTTTTTTATTGAATTCGATTGATGATTACAAAACAGTAAAAAAAGGGCTTTTTATAGGCCTTGAGACAATAAAGAAAAGCTTCATTGGTGGCCGGAATTGCACTTCCCATTATTAGGCGCGGCAGCGGCCATAGGATGAATTGGTGATGGATTCAGCACCGGCTACGAGATTGAATGGTTAGAGTTTGTCAACCCTGATTCCAGTCTCGACCAATTTCCCATTTTGCCCTTCGTGTTCTGATTTCTCTATTCCGGCTTTCTTTCTATGATAAACCCTTAAGGGTTTCCTTATATATTTCTTCTAAAGTGTCTTTAAGTCCATTCCAGTTGTTGTAATTTTCATTACTCAATAGAAAACAGAATACACGCAAGACAAAGATGTTACATTATTTGTGTCAAAATTTTCACACTTATAAAAAAAAAACACCTAAAAATTGAAGTTTTGTAAATTTAAGGACTAAATTGAACAAAAATAACTATCATAACCTAATTATAATATGACCAATAGTGTAGAAACTAAAAATCATAGTTTGTCCTATATAAAATATTAAGTTGCATCACAAATAGTTACATTGAAAAATATAGATACTATTCACTAAAAAGAAAAACATAGCATTAGGGGAAAGTTAGAAGCTAAAATTCCAGCTGTTTACATGCATTAAATCCCATAACCAAATCGCAATGGTAGTACCAAAAACATTTATGATTGTCATGTTTATCTGCAATAAAATCATGGCCGCATACAGATAAAGTAGGCCATACTCTAAGAAACTGAAGAGAAGATACCATAATATGCAGCGGAATCATGTCCCAGTATCTCACAGGATATGAAAATTTGTGAAGTTTCAACTTACATAAAAAATCCTCTGTTTGATGGTTAACCCATCTTCCATCCCTATTACTCGAAGATATGTCAATCTACAAAATCCAAATAAAGAATGAGGAAGATAGAGGGAAAAGGGAACCAATTATCAAACTGAAAAGTATCCTCCAGATATCAAACATGTAAAATTTAAACAATCGTGCAGCCATGGCAACTAATATATGGAAGCAGCTGCGGGACAAAATAATTAAATGAAAATCATAATTGGTTGATCACTGCATGGTTTGAGAGGCTCAGCAGAAAGAATAGTAGAAAAACAGAAAAGGAAAATCAATTCTAGTAACTGACAGCCCCATGTTTCTAGTAGCTGGTGGGATTGGCACCTAATTTGTCCAAAAGTAAACAAGTTTCATGGAAATTCCATTACATTTTAATGTGGAAGCCCTGTGAAAGAACTAAGTCCAATAAGAACTGTTGAGATGTTATGGTATAGGTCCGAAGTTCGAACCCTAATCTAAAAGAGGAGCTTCATCAAACGCTTCAACCTTAGCATATATCTCAACTTTTGAACTTTTCCCATCTTATTTACTTAATATATCAAACAAAAGCCAGTATATTTATCAGATATGTAAGTACCCGTGCCATGCTTGCTCATAGCTGAATATTGTCTTTACAAGCTTCACGTTTGGAGCCTCAATTGTTCCATCTGCATAACTTTATAGAGTAAGCAGAGGACAGACTGGTACTCAACATGCAACAGCAAATAAGCAGCATACTGTTTCGTTCTATAGCGGATAAAAAGGAATCTCCACTTTTAGAGCTTGCGTATATGATCAAGGGCTTGGCTTGATATTTTACTAAACCAGCACAGGCAAAGATATAAGAAACAGAAATAAATTTAAACAAGAAACATTAGAGAAAATCAACTAGAGAAGCAACAAACAGTGCAAAAGGTAATCTGTACAAAAAAAAAAAGAACAAATAAATTTCCCAGAACGCAATGCCATCCATAGTAGTAATGGAATGGATGAAAGATAAATGAAACAGCATTCCTGCAGAAACATGAAACTCGTACCCAGACCAATAAGGGGAAAGTCTGAGCTACCATCCTCCCAAATTTCCAACACATGAAGTTGGTGAATACTTGTATCATAATAAGCAACTCCAACTCTGGATTGAAAGTTCCAGTTTAGGACACTACCTGTCAATATTTAAAATAAATGTGCAAAACAAGCACTGTGAGTGATCCCTCTGTTTAGATGCGCACTTCCATCTTACCAACTTCATAGCATTCTATTTATTTGGAACTGGTTTCTGATCCACATATCTGTTGCACATTCTTTTGAATTTCACTACCTCGACTACAAAGGTTGATATATACCACTAAAGCTTCTTTGCATTGCCAAGACTCTTATGTACAGACTTACATTTCACATGACATGCCACAACTTATTTGTAAAGCTCATCAAGATACAACAGTGGAAGTCAAAGCTCACCGATGACCCTGTTGTAGTATGCATGCCATGTAGATCTGCTTCTTTACATTGCCAAGACTTTTATGTACAGACTTACACTTTCCATGATATGCCACAAGTTATTTGTGAAGCTCATCAAGATAAAAATATGGAAGTCAAAGCTCACCAATGACCTTGCAGTACGCATGCCATAAGACCGGCATAATTTAGATACAGGAAATTAAATGGCTCGCCCTGGAGAGGCAATATCAACCATAAAGTCAATATGAACATAATAAACAATTATCCAACTGTCCAAAACACATTTCTTAGAAGCAGCAGAAGAAACCAGTACAGTGAGTAAGATAAACATAAGAACGTCTGCAGGGTATTCACCTAATAGCTTCCAAAATCTATGAGACAATTCCATAACAAAAAGGAAGGTTGTCATTAAATGACCAAGGCCATCAATGGCGTCATCCCAATCATACTTCGCATAAAGTAGAGATCACATTAATTAACCTAATAGAACAGTCATTTGGATACAAACTGAACTGAAAGAAATTTCTCGAATACAAGGAATCCACTCAAAGATTGTCAGCATTTATTTGAACCAAAACAATCAAAAGTATATTCTCATAAGACATTACAAATTACGATACGGTACGAGAGTATATGCGATAACTGACAAGCCAAAACCAGAATCATAAACCAGAACAGGCAATGCGAATCGCTTTAAAAACTGAAGTTCACTCTCGATTCGCTTTCGCAATGATTCTATTTGAGAATGAAGCGTCAATATTCAACTTCAACTAAGTCAATCGATCGGACTTCATCATTTTCTGAAAATGATATAGATACAGAATAAAACGAGTTCCGCTCTTTTGTTCTTTCCATTTTCCTGGCAACCAAACAGAAAAAGAGCAAACGTGAAGAGAAAATGAAAAGACGGAGAATCGACCTGCGGCACAGCTTCGGTTTTGTCCATTTCCTACATTTTTACTGCTCGAAATTAAAGAGAGAGAGAGAGAGAGAGAGCAACAAAAAGCAATTTGAAGAAAGAAATAATCGGCGCGTGGAAGTATTTTGAAACTTCTTTTTCTTGGTTGTATTTAAAAGAGATTCACCACTGTACTCTATTTTGGTCAACCACTCGTCTCCTGTTGACCGTTTATATACCAGCCAGTTGACTAGAGTCACACAAGACAAATATACATGTTTAAATACAGGACTAAACTCTGACTCACTACTTAACGCCGTAAGCACCCCGCACGGCGGCAGAGACGGTGGTGACGTCGGAATAGACGGAGAAAGAAAGGGCTACGCATAACCGCACATTCCATAAACGCAGCGGCTCCTCCAGGGACACCTGTGTCCACATCTCCCGCAATTAAACCGACAAAACATGACATTAACACAGAAACCCCTGCAGCATTGCCATCCAAAAGGGCACCTGATTATGCACAAACCGCAGTGATTAACATCCGACGAAACGTCGACGCATTGGTTCCGGCAACACCGCATCCGAACTCCCGGCGGGTGCTCTCCCCGCCTGCAAATCCACGGCCTCCATCTACACCCTAGCTGCCTCGGATTAGAACGATGAAGACGATGATGACTTATCACTTGCTCAAACCACGGCGACGTTGTCGTATTTTGAGCCGGATCGCCTTTTGCTATCACGGCAAGTGATAGTACGAAGAGTATGAAGATGGAAACGAAAGGGTTGAGCAGTAATCTCGCCATTTGAAGAAGAAGAACTTGAAAAGCAACAAGGGGATCATCGTTGATGGATATAAATATGAAACTAACTGGGTTAGTTTATGTTTCTGAGATGTCTGGTATCGTGGGCGGAAACTTGAGAATGTTGAGGTGGTTCATGTTTTTCCCGCATGGGTAACAAAGAAGAACTGAATCGTTGGCTTGTGGGTTGCGGGTGGCGGTGGCTGTATTTGCTGATTGCGTGAGAAGACGGTTTTGCGTGGCTTCGTTCATGCAGGACTCTCGCGGTTTAGTAACAATGTTAGAAATCTATAAATGTGAATATATATGTATATATATGTCAAATTAGTTATTAAAATTTTGTACTTTTTACCATCCAATTTTTTATTTCTTTTAATTACAATTTAGTTGTGAATAATTTTTATTTATTTCAAACTCACAATTTCATCTATTTTTTAATTAAAGATAAAATAATTAAACTATATTCAAGTATTTTAAAAATATATGTAATTTTGATGATTTAATTAATTATTAAATTAATTATTAATTATAAAATTATTTTTATTATTTTTAAACCATCTGTTTTACCTAAAATATTTACTATTTTTAATAAAAAATTGAAAAAAAAATAAATATTTAAAACAAATAAAATATTTGAGGTTAAATTACACTACAAAAAACAGATATCAAATTATAATGAATATCAAATTTAAAAAGCTTTGTGTGATGAATTGTTGTAAGTCTATAAAATCACAACACAATCAAAAATAGATAGAAGAGTTAAAAGTGATTCTTTCTCTTTTATCTTGTGTTTAAAAGCTTACATTAAGTCAAATCATGCACTAAGTTTAAAAATCACATAACCATATACTATGCTCTATCTTTACCCAAAAAAAATATTAAGTAAGTGTTTTAAGAGTAAAGTCAATAAAAAAAAATTTAGGGATGATAGAAATATAAATAATTTAGCAAATTTTACAAATATAATTTGTAACATTCCGAGCCCGAAAATTAAGCTTTGGCTGTTGTAATTTATTTTTTAAAAATAATAATAAAATGTAGAGTTTAATTTTAATTATTTTTTTTTGAAATCTATGTATTTCGGATAAATTTAAAAATAATTTTAGAAAATATGACCAAACTGAAAATAAGGGATGACATGTTTGAAAAAAAATTCAAAAATGAGAGGTCAATTCATAAAAAGGAAGAAACGGACCACATGAATGCCCAGTCAAGGGCACGACGAATCAATGCACGCTGCGTGGCGGACACGCCAACAGGGACCCCACGCAGGAAGCCATGCTGGCAATCCACATTTTAGGGCGATCGAATGACCCGTGTCGCGCACGGACGACCCAGATCATATCCCATTTGGATTTCAAATGAATGGCTCTGATTTCCCACATGACGGATCCAACGGTCGCATAATCAACGACCCTGATTTGCAGAGTTGATTAATCAAACAATCCATAAGTGTTTTCTAAATTGGCACGATTGGACGATCTCCATTGCGCCATGTGGACCCATACGGACGGCCCTGATCGAAAAAAGAGAGGGATTTAAACCTCTTTTACCTTACTCCCCAAAACCCTAATCGATGCCCCATCGAAGAAGAAGAAGAAGGGCAGCCAAAGGGGAAGCTCAGCCACCGGAGGACAGTTGCGTCATCGTACCAGAGACCAGAAAACACTTCGGTAAGCTGTATTTTCTTCTCGTTCTTTCTGTTTCTTCGCCCTTTATCCGCCTAACACGTTTCTGATGCAGGAAAATCGAGAACAACTGTAACATGCGAGAAAAGAACGATGGAGCTCAGCTAAGCCGCTGTACTGGAGGATCGAAACTGCCGGTAAGCATCCATTTTTTTTCCTCCCTTCGCTGAGAAACACTCCCTAACCATGATTTAAACTGATTTCCATTAAGAATCGGTCAAAACTGGTATGACCGAGAGGAGGAACAGCTGAAAAATGCGGACTAGGCGGCGGAGCACGGTGGCGCATCACGACGAAACCCCAACCCAACCTCCCAGTGAGATTTTTGCTTTTTTTTGCCGTTTCTTGCATATTTTCATGCCATTTTAACATTCGTTTCAATCTTATAAGAAAAATTCAAAAAATCCAAGAAGTGAGAACTGTCGAGAACCGTAGTAAAAAAGGCAGTGTTCTGGATACCGACCCAGGGTAAGAATCTCTCACCCTTTTATCTGTTACAGTTAAATTAAAGTTAAATTAATATTAAATAAAAATTTTAGATAATTGGCGACCCCTTGATTAATTAAGTACAGGTTGTCGATGAAGCTAGTAACTGGTCAGTTTATGCTTGTTATTAGTTTAATTATGTTAGTTATTTCTCTAATCGTTTTATTCTACTTATCTATTTACTGTTCTATTTACTCCAATTTATTCACTTTAAATATATGATTAGCATAATATGATTTCTTAATCTATATTTTTTGTTGCTCTATTGTGTGCATAACACGTCCCAGTCAGCATAATGCATATTTATTTCACTCACGTACTCTAAAATATAAATTTTGTACTCTTATGTTGCTTGAGATGTAGATATACGTGTCATTTAAGCCTAAATAGTAAATAAAAGAAATGATATGTGTGAATTAAATGTGTTGAATAAAAGGGCTTACCAAGTATCATGAAAAATAGTGTACGAATTTGATGTATAGGGTGAACCCTACTGTGAATATTACCCTCAATTGTACGAGACTGAAAAGTCCCATACTAGACAGGGTTAGAAATTGGTTTAATTACGCTCATATCAGACGAAGTATTAAAGCGGTTGTATATTGTGGCACCCATTACCAGACATAGTAAGGAGACAGTTGTTTGATTATAAAGAAAATATTC